GCTCATGCTGGGTCTCCCCACTGGGAACTGTCTGGGGTCTTGGAGCTCCTCTGGGCAGCTCTGCGGACTCAGAGGAGCTGCCTCCCACTCGTGGAGCAGGTGCCAGGCACCGGGGCTGGAGGGTGGTTGGGACAGCTCCGCTGCCCCCTCCCTGCCCCCCTCGCAGTGTTCCCCGCTAGGGATCCGAGGCGGCGGCAGGGCCCGCAGCCTCCTGAGGCTCGAGGCTCGGCTGACCCCTCTCTCCTCAGGCGGCGGACACATCAAAGAGGTCATTGTGGCTGCTGAGGCAGAGCGGGGGGCCGGCGAGATGGCAGAAGCCCCAGGCAGCCCCAGCCGGCAGGGCCCTGGGCTCGGCAGGGAGGGCGAGCAGGCTCAGGTCAAGCTGCTGGTGAACGAGGACGGCCGCTACGTCTGCGTGCTGTGCCACAAAACCTTCAAGACGGTGAGCCCGGGGGCCGCGCGCGGGGCTGAGCCGGCTGCTGGGGCCGGGCCTCCTTCCGCTCCTGCCCTGGGAGGCGCCTGAGCCCCACCTGTCCCCTCCCCCCAGGGCAGCATCCTCAAGGCCCACATGGTCACCCACAGCAGCCGCAAGGACCATGAGTGCAAGCTGTGTGGGGCCTCCTTCCGGACCAAGGGTTCACTCATCCGGCATCACCGGCGGCACACAGGTGAGCCAGGCGGGGACTGGGGGCCGCCCAGCGCACTGCCACGGGCCCTGCTGGTGCCCCGGCCTCTGGCTGGCTGTGAGGCTGTGGCTCCGGGCCTGCCTTCCCCGGGGCCTTAGGCTGCTGGCCCTGCCCGGGGCTGACTCTGTTTTCTCCACAGATGAGCGCCCCTACAAGTGTGCCAAGTGTGGGAAGAGCTTCCGGGAGTCGGGTGCGCTGACCCGACACCTGAAGTCTCTCACCCCGTGCACAGAAAAAATCCGCTTCAGCATGAGCAAGGACGTGGTTGTCGGCAAAGAAGACGCGCCTGCAGGTCAGCAAGGTAGGGGCTTCCTGCCCTGGCCCTGGCCCTGGGGGCCACCCTGGTTGGGTGGGTTTCTTTAAGGATTCTCTTGGTTCTGCCTTAAAGGGTCTGGCACCTCCACTGTGGGGACGGTCCCATCTTCATCGGTGACGGGCGAACCTATGGAGACCTCACCCGTGATTCACCTGGTGACAGATGCCAAGGGCACTGTCATCCACGAAGTCCATGTCCAGATGCAAGAGCTTCCCCTGGGCATGAAAACCCTGGCCCCAGAGGTGCGGGCCAGCCGGGGGGAGTGGCCTCTGTCTGCCCAGTGCCAGGCTCTGTTCTGGTCACTGGCTCCAGTGGGAGCAGGACTCACCTGGTCCACCTTCCTGGTGCTCAGTCTGGTTGCAGGGGAGGTGGGATGCCAGTGGCACGCCAGAGGGCGGCGAGGGATGGGGAGCTGGGGGGGAGGGGGAGAGCGGGCGGGGAGAGCGGGCTGTGGGGTTCCCCGAAGCATTCCTCTGGGTGTACACGGTGCCCCCCTGGGCCCTCTGGGGTCTGCCCTGTGCAGTGGGTACAAGTGGGTGCCGTGTGCTGGGCCGCCTGGCCAGCTTCCCGCCCTCTGCCTGCCCACAGCCCCCGGACCCCGAGGAGCTTCCCTGCTCCAGCGAGGGTGGCCGTGAGAACCTGCTACACCAGGCCATGCAGAACTCCGGCATTGTCCTTGAGCGTGTCACCGGCGAGGAGGGGGCCCTGGAGCCAGCCCCTCCTGCCGCACCCAGTCCCCAGACCCTGGGAGACGGTCCCCCAGAGCTGCCACTGCTGGAGGTGGAACCCGTGGAGACAGTAGGTGCCTGCGCTGCGACGTGCTCCTTCGAGGCGGGGCTGGACCTCAGCTACAAAGGCACCACCCCAGCCTGGGCAGCCATCCTCCTTGCTGTGCTGTTTACTGCATTTTGGGGGCTCATGATGGAGCTTGTGGGGTTAGGGGGGTGCCGTGGGTCTGTTCTTGGGACTGCTAGGGTCCAGCCCGCAGTAGGTGCTGGAGGCGTGCTGTGCCTCTCCCCGCCCCAGCAGGTGGCCAGTGGGGCCTCTGCTGTGCCCAGGACCCACCCGTGCCCTCAGTGCAGTGAGACCTTCCCGACAGCGGCCACCCTGGAGGCCCACAAAAGGGGCCATGCAGGTGGGTGGCAGGGGAGGGTGGGGGGTGGGGCACCGAGCAGGAGGCGGCCAGGATGGGCCTTGGTTGTGCGGTGGGCGGCTAGATTGGTCCCCCGGGTGGGCAGCAGGCAGGGGGCCCTCAAGGGGTGGACCCGGTCTGACCTCGTGTGCGGCCCCAGGGCCAAGGCCGTTCACATGCGTGCAGTGTGGCAAGGCCTTCCCCAAGGCCTACCTGCTCAAGAAGCATCAGGAGGTGCACGTGCATGAACGCCGCTTCCGCTGTGGAGACTGCGGGAAGCTCTACAAGACCATCGCCCACGTCCGCGGCCACCGGCGCGTCCACTCCGACGAGCGGCCCTACCCGTGTCCCGAGTGTGGCAAGTGCTACAAGACCAAGGTGGGCCCTTAGGCCCTGGACCCTGGCACGTGACCTCCCCCCCGCACCCTCCAGTCCATTGGCTCCCCTGCCCCAGGCCAGATCCATGCTGTGTTCCCTGCCTCCCAGTCTCTGCTCTCCCCGCCCGGTCTCTCCTGACCACGAGGCCTCTCACCCCTTCTGCCTGGCTCCTGGGCCCTTTCCCTTGGCCCACGGGGGCGGGGGGGGCAAGAGAGTGTGGGCTGAGCCGTGGCCGAGGCCAGGTGGACGCTGATGGTGGGGCCCCACAGAATGCCCAGCAGGTGCACTTCCGGACACACCTGGAGGAGAAGCCGCACGTGTGCCCGTTTTGCAGCCGAGGCTTCCGGGAGAAGGGCTCCCTGGTGCGGCACGTGCGGCACCACACGGGTGAGAAGCCCTTCAAGTGTTACAGGTGCGGCCGCGGCTTCGCCGAGCACGGCACGCTCAACCGGCACCTGCGCACCAAAGGTCAGGGCCGTGGGCAGCGGGGGTGCAGGGGGGAGGGCCAGGAAGTCAGCCCTGCTGATTGAGCCCCCCTCCTCCCCCTCCCCGCCCACAGGGGGCTGCCTGCTGGAGGTGGAGGAGTTGCTGGTGTCTGAGGAGAGTCCCACGGCAGCCGCCACTGTACTCACTGAGGACCCGCACACCGTGCTGGTGGAGTTCTCGTCCGTCGTGGCTGACACCCAGGAGTACATCATCGAGGTGGGTGCGGGGCCACTGGGGCGGGGCCGGGGCCTCGGAGCGGCCAGGCTGACGTCTGACCCCTGCCCAGGCCACTGCGGATGACGCAGAGACTAGCGAAGCCGCAGAGATCATTGAGGGCACCCAGACGGAGGTGAGGGGCCGGGAGAGGGCTGGGGGGAGGAGGGGGTGGCCTGGTGCCCTCCCCCACAGCTGCCGGCTGAGCCGCTAGCCGCCCGCAGGTGGATAGCCACATCATGAAGGTGGTGCAGCAGATCGTGCACCAGGCCAGCGCTGGACACCAGATCATCGTGCAGAATGTGACCATGGACCAGGAGGCGGGGCTAGGCCCAGAGGCGGCTGCGGCCGACACCATCACCATCGCTACGCCGGAGAGCCTGACGGAGCAGGTGGCCATGACGCTGGCCTCGGCCATCAGTGAGGGCACTGTACTCACGGCCCGTGCGGGTGCAAACGGTGCCGAGCAGGCCACTGTGACCATGGTTTCATCGGAGGACATTGAGATCCTGGAGCACGCAGGCGAGCTGGTCATCGCCTCACCAGAGGGCCAGCTCGAGGTGCAGACGGTCATCGTCTAGCCTGGCTGCCCGCAGGCTCTCGGGGCGGGGCTGGGCAGGGGCGAGGACCCACAGAAGGGACACAGAATGCAGGTGTTCAGAGGGGGTGTGGGAGTGTAAATAGTTTTTTGTTGCTTTACAATAAAACATGAAAATCCACTACTTGTGATGCCACTGCCCCGGCAGGTTCCCCTGTGGCAGCCCCTTGCCTGCCCGGCCCCCCTGCAGACTCACGCGCCTCCCGCTGGGGCTGGCAGCGCCGTGGCAGTGCGTGGGCGTTCCTGGCATGTGGACAGGCAGCCTGCTGCTGCCGCCCTGCCCAGATGGAGTCGTGACCCCAGCTTCCCCAGCCCCACGGAGGCGGGTGGGAGGGGGTGCTGCTTCATGGCCTCCAACCCTGGGGCTGTCCAGGGAGGGGGGAGGGCAGGGCACCCAGGCTGGGAGGGGACAACGGAGCAGCAGGGGAAGAGCTGCCAGGAAGGTATTTACTGAATGCACGGCCTGCCTTTTCTCAGGGGGCACCCCTGATGGAGGGAGATTCTGGATGACCTAGCTTGGGAGAGTGGGGGTGTGAGGACAAGAACAAGGCCTGGACCTTGGGTGGCTGCCCCTTTCGTCCAGTCCTGACATAGTTTTGGGGGGGCTGGCAGGGTCATGGGAGCCCTGGTTCTGATGGGTGTGGGAGCAAGCTCAGGGTGGCTGCCCCTGCCACCTTGCCCCCAGGGCTCTCCCTGGGAACCGGAACCAGCAGTTCCAGCGTCCATCTCCGCAGAGGGGGTGGGGCCGGAGCAGTCCAGCCCCTCCCTGGACAAGGGCCTCAAATACCCTCCTGGGCCCTGGCGCCACAGCTGCTTTGGCCAAACCCGGGGAGCCGGTCTTGTGCCACAGACACACCCCCAGCCTGGATCTCCAACCTCAGTCCTGAGCCTCAGATACCGCCCCATCCACATCCCAGGTGAGTCCGGGGACAGGGCTGACCAGGGGCCTGGATGGGGATGGGGTCCCTCTATTTGGGCCTCAGTTTCCCCAAGGAGTAGAATGGCCACGGTAAGCCTAGTGCACCATTGGGGAGACATGGAGACGCAGGGGAAGGATGCGTCTTGGACCTCCGAATCAAAGGTCCCTGCCCGGGCCCTGGGGCTGGGGCGGAGAGGGGTGGCTCGGTGTGTCTGACGCCAGGTCCGAGCTCAGGAGCGTGTCCGTCCCTCCCAGCCTGCCCCCTCTGCGCCATGGGTGGGCCCCGGGTCCTGCTGGCCACGCTCTGGGCCCTGGGGGCCGCCGGAGCAGCAGCGCTGCGCATCGGAGCCTTCAACATCCAGAGCTTTGGCGACAGTAAAGTGTTGGACCCGGCCTGCGGCGGCGTCATTGCACAAGTGAGGCCGGGGACCAGGGGCGGGGCCGCAGCTGGGCTTCCCGGGTGGATCCACCGCGCGTGACCCCGCACCTGCCGGCCCCTCCCCCAGATCCTGGCTGGCTATGACATCACGCTGGTGCAGGAGGTGCGAGACCCGGACCTGAGCGCCGTGTCCGCGCTCATGGAGCAGATCAACAGGTGCGGGGAGGGGGGCGGGGGACAGGGCCCAGCGTTCGGAGCCCAGGCCCGGATCGCGGGGCTTGGTCCCGTGCCTTGACCCCGGGCCTGGCCCGTGTCTCTGCAGCGTGTCCAGGCACGAGTACGGCTTCGTGAGCAGCGAGCCCCTGGGTCGGGACCAGTACAAGGAAATGTACCTGTTCGTCTACAGGTGAGGGGCGGGGCCGCGGGGCCCGGACGCGCGCGGCGGGATGGGGCCGGCTCAGCGCGCCCGCCCGCCTCCTTCCCCCAGGAAGGACGCGGTGTCGGTCGTGGACACGTACCAGTACCCGGACCCGGAGGACGCTTTCAGCCGTGAACCTTTCGTGGTCAAGTTCTCGTCCCCCCGCTCGGGTGAGGCACCCCGTCCCCCCCTCCCGCGGGCCCCACCCGCCCGCCGGCCCCGCCTCTGACCCGCGCCTCCCGCAGCTGCCGGGGAGTTCGTGCTCATCCCGCTGCACGCAGCGCCGCACCAGGCCGTGGCGGAGATCGACGCTCTCTACGACGTGTACCTGGACGTGATCGACAAGTGGGGCACGAACGTAAGGCCCACCCCCGCCCCGGGGGACCTGTGAGCGCGTGCGGGACGCGGGGCGGGGGGGGCTTCGCGCGTGCGCGGGGTTCGCGGTGCTCGCGCAAGCGGGTGTGTGTGCGCGCGGGCTGAGCCCCGGCGCCGCGGCCCCCGCAGGACTTCTTGTTCCTGGGCGACTTCAACGCCGACTGCAACTACGTGCGGGAGCGCGACTGGCCGTCCGTCCGCCTGCGCAGCAGCGAGGTCTTCAAGTGGCTCATCCCCGACAGCGCCGACACCACCGTGGGCAACTCGGACTGCGCCTACGACCGCATCGTGGCGTGCGGCGCCCGCCTGCGCAGGTGTCTCAAGCCCCAGTCTGCCGCTGTGCACAACTTCCAGGAGGAGTTTGGCCTGGACCAGGCTCAGGCGAGTGCGCGACCCCGCTTCTGAACACAGCGCCCTTAGTGGCTCGGTTCTGGCTGAAAGGATCATCTGGGATGGCAGAAGATGCCCTTGGCCTCTTCTCGTGTGGGGTCTCCAGTCCGGGCCCCAGCCCACCTGCAGGCTGCACAGTGGGCGCCATCCCTGGCCGGCGTGGGGGAGCAGGGGTAGGCGGGGTGCGGGAGGTGGAGGCGGTGAGGGGGTGGTCGTTTTCCCAGGTGGGGCCCGAGGGAGGACAGGCTGCCCAGCGGGGCCGCTGAGGCTCCACCTCCTCTCCCTCCAGGCCCTTGCCATCAGCGACCATTTTCCTGTGGAGGTGACCCTGAAGTCGCACTGAAAACCCTCAAGGCCAGACTCAGGCCAGGAGAACAGCCCTACAGGGCTCCTTCTGGGTGGCTGGCCAGCCCCCAGCAAGGCCGCAGGGCAGGGTTGGCTGGACAAGCGGCTATGAAACATCACAGGACCACCCAGTCTGTTTGCCCATCTGTGAAATGGGCTATCTACCTCATAGGGTTGTGAGGAGCAGCTTGCAGAGCGCTGGGCACACGGCTATGCTCAATAAACACGAGCGAGTGCTCAGCCAGGACCACGCTGGTCAGCTTCAAGGCCTCCGTGCCCTTTCTTAGGACTCAACCCCTCTGAGGCCCAAACTTTGGTCCTGCAGCCCAGTGGGTCCCGGGTCCCCACCCCCTAGGGGACAGGGATGGCCCGGCCTGCCCATTCACTCCCTGCTCGGGACAGATGCCCTCCAGACCAGGCTGGCTCCAGAACGCTGCTCCCATGCTTGCTAGTGGGAGCTTGTTGCTTTCTTTGTGCAAACCATACATGCTTCCAAGAACCCGTGCTGAGTGCAGCTGGGCATAAACACAGCTTCAGCACTGACACGCAAGGCCAACCTCCCCGTCCCTGATGTCCCTCCTGCCCCCCGATTCCCGGGTCCTGCAGACCTCGCAGACACTTGTATCGGGGTCCTGTCCTGCCCAGCAATGCAGGGGGCAGGCAGTCAGGAGCCCCCCCCAAGTCCGTGGGCTGCCCTGGGACATCTGGGGAGCTCTTCAGTGGTGAGCAGGCTGGATTCCTCACACAGCCCAGGCAGGTGGGACCCACACACCCCTTGTGCATACATAGCCCCTTCCATGGGGCCACCCTGGGTTGGCTCCTTCTCAGGAGCCCTGGGCTGGGCAGAGGCTTGTCAGGGAGAACCGCAGCCTGTGTCCTGGAGAAGCCTGTCAACCAAGGATTGGGAATGTGCAGAACTGGGGTGCAGGGGCCCAGTGAGGTTTCTGGTTTTGGAAACAACTCCACTTGGGTCTGGGAAGTGGCCTGAACCATATGGAGGAAAAACCTTTGTTTCAAAAGTCTGGACGAGTTTTCTGGTGTGATCTTTCTAAAGTAAGACTGGGGCTCCTGCAGCACAGACCCACCGGTACTGCCTCCCATGCCCCTCGCTAAGCCCCCCCACCCCAGTCTCTGGACCACTGCGCCCCCTCTGTGTCAGTGGGCGGATGTAGTGGCCAAAGAGCTTTCCTCTGGGGGGATCCTGTGGGTCACTGGCCCACAACCTGGGGATGAGCCCCCAGCAGTCAGGCAGCTGGGTAGCTAGGGATGGGACCACACAAGGACTTTGTTCCCACTTCTGCTCTGGCAAAGGGGACGCTCAGCGGCGGCTGTCACCGAGGTCCAGCACGGCCCGGCCTACCTGCCAGCAGAAGAGGTGCTCAGGGGGGGTGGTGGGCCCTTGGGACACTGGCTACAGGGAACAGGGCCTTCTAAGAACATCAGCAGAATGAAGAGCTGCAAGTACTTTTACATTGGAAAATAGCTTGTTTAAAACCCCTCGGAATCAGAGGGCCCCCCGGAGGGGTGCATCCGGCTCCAAGCCCCATGGAGGCAGCTCAGCCCCTTAGCCTTTCTTCTGTTTGAGCTTTTCTAAGTACGCATGCAGAGACTTCTGGACGGAGTCTCTGCAGATGAAGCGGACAAAAGTCTGGATGTCCGCATCGCGCTCTGTGAGCAGGCGGTCAGCTGTGGGCTTGCGCATCAGGGTCTTGGTCAGCTGTCGGGCGTGGTCTACAGAAAAGGGCCCAAGTGTGAAAACCCATTCCGACACCGTGGCATCACTCCCAACCTTTCCAAGAGAGTTCCAGCAGAAACTCTGGCAAGAAACTTGACATACAAGTAAACAAGCAAAATGAAAACCACCCCTTCCCCATTGCCTACCCAGAAGCAGAGAGGGTGACACTGTGAAAACTGCCTCTTACCCCGTCCCTTTCATTCCCCAATATTACGGGGGGTACTTTCCACAGCACTAAGTACTCGTTCACAGCACAGTTAGGTCAGTGAACCTGGCCCCCCCATGGCCTGGGAGCTAAGAATGGTTTTTACACTGTCATGGAGTTGAAAAAAGGACGTTCTGTGACCCGTGAAGGTTATATGCAATTTAAGTATCAGCACCGGCACGCTCACTGGGTCACAAACGCTCTGGATGCCCTCATGCTCCAGCGCCACCGTGTGGCCGAGACCGAGTGACCCACAAGGCCGACCATCTCCCTGGCTCTTGAGAGACAGTCCGCTGATCCCTGGTCTCCATCAGAGTAGATATAACCAGCCCAATTTCTATAAACAGACAATAGTCTGTGCGGTGGGTTGGGAGTGGACCTAACCACAGTCTTAGAATCTGCATGTGGCCTTATTTGGAAAAGGGTTTCTGCGGATGAAGTTAGGATGAGATCCTCTTGGATTTAGGGTGGGCCCCAAATCTGAGTGTCCTGACCAGAGAAAGGAAGAGGGGAGCCTGGAGACACAGACACGCAGGGAGGCCACATGGAGGGAAAGCAGACTGGCGCGATGCATCTAGAGGCCAAGGATTGTCTGGAGCCGCCAGAGGCTGGATGAGGCAGGAAGAAGCCTCCCCTAGAGCCTCTGGGGAGAGCACGGCTCTGCCCAAACCTTGATTTTGGACTCCTGGCCTGCAGACTTGGAGAGAATGCACTTTTGTGGTTTTAAGGACCACCCCTCCCCCCTCCCCCCGCCATGTGGTAATCTGTTGCAGTGGCCCCAGGACTAAGCCAGTCTGCTGTTATAAACGGCACCTTCCTGATGTGCACAAGGCCCCCTCCCAGGAGAACCCCGTGCTCTCACCAGGAGTAAAAGGCTGTGGGGGGTGCTGGCTGCCGGGCCTGGCCCCTCCCCGTGCTCCTCACCTGGAATGGCCAGCCACTGGGCCATTACCGACCGCGCCGTGCTCTGCACCTGGTCTTCAGGCACAACCTGGTCCACCACGCCCACCCGGAGGGCCTCTGCTGGCGGGAAGAGCAAGCCCAGCTGCAGGGCGCGCTCTGTGGCACGGTGCCCGATTGTGTTCACCATCGTGTCTTTGAACCTGGAACACATCCACTTGTTGGGGGCTCCCAGGTGGACAGGCTTGCACCAGAGTGAGGTGAGTGCGGGTGCAGCCCCCAGCCTTACCAGAAGGGGGCCACAATGCCCAGCAGAGTCTCGTTCAGCCCTATGGTGTACTTGGGGTTGTTAGCCAGGACCCGGTAGTCACAGGTGAGGGACAACAGGCAGCCTCCGGCTGGGCTGACGCCCTGCAGGGGAAGAGAGACCACATGGCTTTGTGTGATGCCGCGGGCGGGCGGGGGGGGGTTCCTGACTGTATTCCAGAGAGCCAGGTCCCAAGGAAGAGCCCCCCCTCCCCGTCCCCATGGTGCTGCACCCACACTGGCTGGGCTGGGTGTGTACGATGGGGACTCGGGCTTGGCTGTGCCCGGAACCCTTCTGTCGGGGTTGCAAAGCGCCTTTCTTTTCACGGTTTTTGCCGGGATGCTAAAACGCCAAGTATTTAGCCGAAGCGCCCCCCAGGACCCATCTCCATCCCCAGCAGGACATCCCAGGAAACCCAGACTCACACTGCCCTCACCTCACCCATCCCACAGCCTCAGAGGCGGCCTGTGGAGTCTCCCTGACTCTCGCCAGCCTCCTGTCCCCTGGTTCAGACCCTCTGGCACCTCACTGGGGGGCCCCCGCCATGTCGTCAGGCACACGGCTTCCTGAGCCTTAGCAGCCCCTGCCTTCCCAGGCCAGGCCAAATCAAGGTTTCCAGGGGTGAATCTGACCCCCTCCTTGTGCCCCCTTCCCCATGCAGCCCTCTTGCTGGGCCCTGCCTCCACCCTTGTCACCTGGTCATACTGACCTCTGCACCTCTGAGGGCCTCCCCAACCCTTCCCGAGGGCAGGGCCCCGTCTGTCCCCCCGCAGTGAGTCAGCGGGGCGGCTGAGGCGTGGGGACACTCACGTTGATAGCAGCAATCACCACCAGGTTGGACAGGTAGAACCGAAGCCACGTTTCCTGCACAGCCTTCCAGTACTCCACGTAGTGCTCGGGCTTCCTCCCGCACATCTCCGTCAGGTCCAGGCCGGCGGAGAAGATCCCGGGGCAGTCCTGGGGGTGAAGGAGCCAGGGGCCCTGTCAGAGTCCATCCACGGCCAGCCAGAGGCCCCCAGGGATGCTCCAGAGGCGGTGGGGAGCTGGAGCTGGGGCTTCGGGGCACACGTTCTGATCTCCCCTCAAGGTCAAGCCAGCTGCAGACGCCAGGCCAGGCTGCGAGGTGTTGCTGTCAGAACACAGCAAGGCAAGGAGAGGACCGCAATGAGCCGAGAAGCGAGACCCCTGCCCTGGGGAGTGGCCGAGAAGGCGTGTGTCCTGCGCAGATGCCCCGGGTCATGACACAGCCACCACAGGGGAGAGGAACGCGAACACAGGTGAGCAGGGGCAGCTGGGGCAGAGGATGGCTTTCCAGCCAGGAACTGCTAGCCCAGACGGCAAACCGGGGGGGGGGGCAGGAGGGTGACCGAGCGGCCATCATGGGAAAAGCCTGCACATGGGGCTCCCAAGTGGTGTCACAATGTCCCTAAGCAAGCGAGAATGAGACGCGCCCGGGGCTGGGGTGCTGGGGGCCGGCACGCCCTGTTACTGACCCACGAACCAGGGCCAACAGCCCGTATCTCTGCGCAGTGGGGGGATGTGCGGAGTACGGGTGACGTCCCCACATCCTCCTATCAAGTGACAGGAGCAGGTTGCGTGCAGGGTGCAAGACGTGGTTCCTCGGGGCCCCCCGTGTAGCTGCGCGTGCGCCGCCCCTGGAGGCTGACCTCTTGTGTCCCCGCCCGTGTCCCACCGTGGCCTTGGAAGGCCACACAGGTGCGGCTGTCTCTCGCGGATGCCCCTGAGCTGCAGCGGGGACAGCAGCCGCGGGGGCCGAGCTCCTCCTGCTCTGAGCACAGCCAGCATTTCTGCCTTTTTCCTGATCCTTCCCCGCCTGCTGGGGACCCCTCCCCCTGCACTCCACCCCCAGCCTCTCCACACAGAGGCTTGCCCACAG